TTATTGTGGGAGGTATATTAGTTGTAGAATGAGGTGATGAAGTTGCTTGTGATTGTAAAGGTTGAGGTTGAGGTCTAAAGGCACAGTAGGGAATCCAAGCAGAGGTCTTTTTCGATTTTTTAATAGCTGCTCTGGCATCGTGAGTGTGTCAAGTGTAATCTGAGTTTGCATAAGAAGAGTATCCTCCTGCATCACAAATACTGAGTGAAATTTCTGATTATATAACTGATAATATAAATTATATATTATACGTACGCACGTACATTCGTACAGTATATAATAATTTTTTCGTTTTCGTTCAAACGTCAAAGACTTGAAATAAAAGCTGTACCTGTGTAAAATTACCCGAATTATCTATATGAGATCTATCCTAACTCTTGTTATCGGGGTGAACTCGAGTAACCCGTGTAAGATCTATCAACCAGCCCATAACTATTGCTACGCAAGTAATCTAGATTAGCTATTGTCTAAAATATAAAAAAACTCTTGTCAATTCATGAATGTTTAACTCAATTTCATTTTACTTACAACAAGCTTAGTGCGTGAACATAAAAAACATCATTAATTCAAGTATTCAAAGTAAGTTATTCAAGTTCATTATTTACTCTACGTGAGTATGAATATTTATTGATCTAAACTATGAATATTTGTTAATTTAGATCAAGTATGAGACGTATCAAGCTATTCAAATTTATGAGTATTCACTATTTATACTTTCATTTTATTGCCATTAATTTGTATATAAGGGTTAAAATATTGAAGTATTTAGATAAGTTGTGCAAATTCATGAATATTTATTGTTTACTTTTTTTTATTCTTTATAATTTAGTATATAAGCATGAAGAATATTTATTATTTTAGTATTTAAGTTATTCAAGTCTATGATATTTACAAAAAATATTTATTAATCTAAGCTTATGGATTATTTATTTAGATCGTGTATAATGTATATTAAGCTATTCAAATTATGAACAACCTCTATTTATAATTTTATTTATTACAAAAAATTTGTGAGTATTAAATATTTAAGCATTGAGATTATACTGTTATATGCATATTTATCGCTTACTTTTTTTATTTATAATTTAGCATATAACTGTGAAGAATATTTATTTAATTAAGTTATTTAGATTTGTGGTTATTTACAATCAAATTTGTTATATGTTTATTTGGATCGAGTATGAGGTATATTAGGCTATGAAATTTATAAGTATTCACTGTTATATATTTGTGTATAAATGCATGTATATTAATCAATTACTTTCATTTTATTTGTAGCAATTTAGTGCGTAAGTATAAAGAACATATTATTTTAAATATTTATAAATTATTAAATATTTACAATTGAATTTTATTATTCGTTCCTACATAATAATTCCAATCTGATTTTGTAGAATAATATTCTTCGCAAAGTACTTCCGGAGCAATATAAGGAATTACACTATAAACTTCTGATGGATATGACTAGATGCTATTGAAAGATCAAAATTTACTGTTATAATTACTTCCAAAATTAAGCACCTCTTGGAGCAATTTTATAGCCAAAATTCTCATGATCTAATAATCGGATCTGTGTAATTTTGGTACCATTTGAATCGGTTTGGCAAGCTGATTCGAATGGCACCAAAATTATATAAATCCGAATATTAGATCATGGGAATTTTGGCTATAAAATTGCTCCAAGAGGGTGCTAATTTCGGAAGTATACGGTATATATAAAGAATATTTGGTAATCTTTGGATTAAAATTATGCGATAAGATATTAATTTAGATAAATTTAGTATTATTGCTGTATTGTAGTTATATATATATTTGTACCAATGTTTATCTGTATTATTAAATACGTGCATGTATCGATGTTATTTTAAGGTTAATTATTTAATATAGATATTTATATAATTGGTTAATTTATATATGTATGCTATTTTTAAATATATATTAATAAGCGTTAGAAAAATATTTAAATATGTATATGTTATATTATTTTTTTTTTAATTTTTTTCTTGTTTAAAAGTTAGCATAGCTGATTCACTTTTATTTCGTCAGCAAAAATAAAACACATCGTTAGCAAAATAAAACACTTTTTTTCAAATTTTATTTATTTTTTTATAATAATGGATTCAGAATATTTAGCTCAACCAAGTAAAATTTCTATCGATATACATGTATTTCAAGAATTAATTCAATATAAAGAAGATGCTTTAAAATTAGAATTTGAAAAAAATCAATATATTCTTGAAATTAATAATCTAAATCATATAATTGAAAATTTAAACAATAATATTATTGCAATTCAATATAAAAATTCTATTGAAATTTCAGAATTAAAAAATTATTATGAACCTGAAATTTTTAATTTAAAAAATAAATATAATGAAATTTTACAAAATAATAAAAGTGAAATTTCAAATTTAAAAAATTATTATGAAAATGAAATTATAAATCTAAAAACTAATTATGAAACTGAAATATTAAATTTAAAAAATTATAATAAATCTGAAATTTTTAAATTAAAAGATAATTATAATCAAAGTAAAAATGATTATAATATTGAAATAATTAATTTAAAAAATAAAATTTTTTCTTTGGAACAAGAATTAAAAAATCCATCTATAGATTTATTTTCAAATTTTTTTGAAGAAAATATTAATAATTTATCTAATTTATTATACAAAAAACAATATGATGAAAAATGTTTTCCACCTACAGATTCATTTGAATTTATGAATATGATTGATTCTTTTAATTTAAAACTATTTGTTTTAATATTTTTTAATATATTTAAATCTAATATTAATCAAAGTTCAAAATCTATTGAAAAACTTAAAATTAGAATAATGTTATTAATATATGATTTAGCTGGATTAAAAAATAACAAAATTAACAATGTAAAAAATTCAATTGGAAGTTTTTTACTTAAAGCTGGCCTTTCAAAAAGAGCAATTAATTTATTATTATATTTTGGATATATTTCAAGTTATTCAAAATTATATTCAAATATGATAGATTTAGAAAAAAATCATAAAACATATGTGCAAAAATATTTACAAAATAATTTTAATAATCTTTTTATTATTAATATAGATGATTATCATGATTGTCATCAAACTAGACTTCCAACAATGACTTCTAATAGTAGAATATGTCATATGGCAACTACATTAATTAATAGTATGCCTGATATTTTAAAAATTTCATTTGTTTCTTCAAATAATATTTCACTTTTTAAATCAGGATTAATTTCTATTAATCATCTTAATAATGCATTAGCTAATGAATTACGTAATAATTTAATTAGTTATAACAGTCATAAATTAGAGTGGAAAAATATTTTAGATATTTCAACATTTTCAGCTGAATCATTAATAGAATCTTTATCAGTTCATATGTATGATGGTACTCTTGAAAATCAACATATAAGAAATTTTTATAATACAAAACTTGTTTATTTTATTTCATCTGATTTAAAAAATACAGATGATTATTTACAAATTATTAATAATTTAATAGAATTTTCAGATATTAAAGAATATTTAAATAATAATATAATAATTGCACCTATGGATTTTCCTGGTTAATTATATGTTCGAAAACTTATTGTATATAAATATTTTAATCTATCTTCTGAAATTCCAAAAGAAATTAATTATTTTGTACCAATGCTTGGTCCTTTACATATTTCATTAAATACTAGAGAAACATGTATTATTAAATTTCATCCATTTTTTAATAAATTATATAAAGATGTTTTTAATAAAAAAAGAAATTTAGCAGAAAAACCAAAACCATGGCAAATAAATTTATTACTTTATATTGCTCATGCTGGATGGATTAAAATAAAATCTGAAATTCTTGAAGCTTTTAAAAATTCTAAAAATGGTGGTTTTTATTCATTATTAAATCTTTTAGATAATATTATACCTTCAACATTAGATATTTATACAAATTTATTTAAAAATAATCATTTTGAATATTATTATGAAACAATATTTCGATTATGGATGTTTATGCGAAGATGTAATCGAAAAAATTATGATAAAATAATGCTTGTTTTTTTATCAGATATTTTACAATGGAATGAAAATCAACATCCAATTATAAATATATTTTTTAATAATTTAAATTTACTTGATGAATATCCAGTTGAAAATTTTCATAGTTTAGTACGTAGAAGTATTACATCAAAATTAACAAATTCAAAAACTCTTCATAGATATGGAATTTTTATAGATTATGAAAAACATGAAAATAAATTTATTTCAAGTTTTTTAAAAACAAAACAATATTTATTTTCAAAACCTCAATTAGATTCTTTAGTTACCAATACTAGTATATTTCTTTTAAAATTTTTTACAAATTTTTATCAAAACCAAAATGATTTTAATATTAAAAAAGTTAAAAAAAATGGAAGAAATAAAATTGAAGTTTATATTCCAACAATTGAAAAATGTTTTGTAAAAGGAATTCTTCCATCAGCATATCATACAGATATACCTCCAAATAAAGAAAAATTATGTGATTTACAATTTTGTAATATTACAAATTCAGATATTACTATTTTATTATGTGGACATTCATATTATACTTCATGTTTTAATAATTTAAATTTTACATGTGATTATTGTTTTCAATATTATAAATCTTCAATTGAAACAATATCAAATAATTTTAATACATATTTAAAATCTAACAAAAAAAAATATGAAGATGATAGAGAAGAAATTAGTAGTAATAATATTATTGAATTAGATGAAGATAATATACTTGAAGATATTAATATAAATAAAAATAATATTAATACAGAATTTTTATTAGCAACGAATAATTTTATTACAATAACTAATGAAAATCAAATATCAACAAAATTTAGAAGAGTTTCAATTGATTTTTCAAATAATATAGATCAAAATAATATTATTATTTCAAACAAAAGAAAAAGAGATTCTTATCTTACAAATTTAATTCAAAAAAAATAACTAATTTTGTTTTTTATTTATCAAATTTAAATATATAAATTAATAAAATTAATTTTTTAAAAAATACAACTTTTTTTATTATAATATATAAATTTTTTTTACTATATTAAGAGTTTATTAATAAATTTTAAATAAATTTACTATATTGAAAAATTTTTATATTAATTGTTTTTTTAATTATATTAAGGATTTGCTATTTTACAAATAAGTTTTTAATCAAAGTTGTTTTTGATAATACAATTTTATATAAATGATATTTTATTATTAATTAAACAAACTACTTGCCAAAAGCTTTTAGCTAATATCACTTTTAATTATTTCTAATAGTATTTTTTTTTTTTTAGCATAATAAATTATCCTAGTAAAAATCAAATTACAAGTTATTATCTGATATGAATATTCTATAAAATAAGTAGGCAAACTTTTCTAAACTTCAAAAAATATTATGTAAATATATTAAAAATTAATGGATTGGATTTACCCTTTTGTACTAAAAATAGTACATTTTATAAAATTCGTAGAGACACCAAAACTTATTAA